ATATGTATATGCATACATATACAAAAAATATATGATTAAAACGGATCGGCTGCAGCGCAGCAGATGTCAAATGTGCAGCAGCAGCAGAAGCAGCAGCCTCCAACAAAAAGCAACGCAAAAGCGAATTGCCGGTATTAAACGGTATTAAAAACATACACACACACACATACATATATGCGCATAAGCTAAGCTTTATGAACTTATGCACTCTTTGCTGTAAACTCTCACCCTCCTTAACTTACTCTTACTCCCTCTCTTTCTTTGTATTTACATATGTATATATGCATAAACATATATATGTTATCTGTTACATACAAACAAAAACAATCAAGCGGCAAAGCAGTCAGCAGAAGATGCATGCAAAACAGACGAAATTAATTGCGAGCGCCTTGCGCCTGTTAACTATGCAATACAAATGCAATGTGCGCAGAAACTGAAAACAGAAACAACAAGAACAACACAATGCGTTTGCAAATGGCGTCTCCTTTGCGCGGCAGCCTTACATTTGCGTCTGCGTCGACGTAAGCGTCGATTCTTTTTTATACTTAATCGAATTTTAGTTATTTGTTAATTAAAAGCGAAAGTAAAAATTAATTGAAATCAATACAAAACATCAAGAAAGAAACAAAGCAAACTGAAAAAAAATGTGAAGAAGTGGGCATAGTTTAATTGGGTTTTGTTGTTAGCTGTTACTAGGATTTTTTTTTTTTTTTCGTTTACCTATTGCCTATTTATATATATATATATATATTTATTATAAACAAATGTAATATTTATGCATACGAATTTTAAATTAAATTGTTGTTTCTACTTTTGTTTTTACCTATTGTATATTTACATACATTTATTGTTTTCTACACCTTAAATAATTAAGTCAAATGAATTTATAAAAATACAATGCGAAAAAAATAAAGAAATCAAATATATATATAAACGAGTGCAACTTCTCTTTAACAAATATATTATTATGAATATTAACAAAACATTATAAAAAAATAAAATACGAAAACCAAAAACATTTATTAAAAATTAAGCAAAAGAAGAAGAGTACCTATGTACATTATTTTTAAGTTATATAATGTTAAACGATAAAAAATAAAACCAAAAAAATAATTATTGTTGAGAGCAGAGCAAAGAAGAGAGGACAAAGAAGCGACGATGAAAAGGAGAAGACGAGTTAGCAAATGAATTGAAATTTGATGATAAAGTGAAAACATTTGATAGTTGACATGAATCTAATACAAAATGCAAACTTATAGCAATTTGAAGTACTTTATAAACAATTATACATACATACAAACAAATACATACATATATAATGAATAAGAAAATTATATACAAACATATATGTTTAAAGTAATGGCGATCCGCCGAACATGTTTATTGACAAAAACCAAAAACAAGCAAAAAACAGTTGCAGTTGTGAGACAGAGATGGAATAAGTGGAGGAGAGAGAGAGAGAGAGAGGGAGGGAGCGAGCGAGCGAGAGAGAGAGCAACAAACATTATATATATGTATATATACATATATAGATAAATACAAATCATATAAATCGTTGCCTCCAAAAGCATACAAATTTGAATTAAATTTATAGGCAACAACAACAACAAATATCCAATAATATTATATATAAAACGAAACAAACGAATCACAAATAAAAACTGAGTAGCCTGGGAACATTAGTTAGAGAGAGATAGCAAGAGCGTACGCTATTAACTACAACGCCTGAAAGCAGGCAACAGTTTTAGACGAATGCCTTTCGCCAACCTAACAGGAGCATTAGAGCAGTATGGCAGTATAACAGTGTGTGTGTATGTGCGCACCACATATGCAGTTGTAACACACACACATAGACCCATTTCCCCAAATAGTTAAAAGTACATTAACAAATGAAACAATGTTTATAAGCTAAGCAGATCAGCATATATATATATATGAACAAAGCAAACAATTTACAAAAGTTTATTGCATTTCAATTCCCCAAAAAAAATTATATATAGATATACATAAATTTAAATTGAATACAAAAAAAAAAAAAAAAAAAAAAAGAAGCGAAAACAATTACAAACGCAGTACGTTTAATACATATTATTGGTTTTAAATAACACTTGAAAAAAAAAAACAAATTTAAATTTAATGAATTTATTAAGCTCCAGAAACCCATGCATGCAAGCATATGTTATGCATGTGCACTCACATGTACACATGTGAATACTTTCTTCCGCCCCTTCGCGTCAAACACTCACAGACACACACACACACACACGCACGCACACACACATGCAAATTAGCGCGCTCTTCTATAAAGAATTATTCAAATTCATAACGTTCAATAAGAAGCTAACATAAGCTAAGCTAACAAAATATGATACTAATACTTTTATACTATATACACCAAAAAAAAAAACAAAAACAAAAAAAACAAAAAGAAAACTTTTCTTATCTTTTTTCTAAGGCTTTCACACTCAATCGCTCTGCTCGTCTCTTCCTCTTCCTTCTTCCATCTCCCACTCCACTTCTACTGCTTCTATCTCCTTTTAAGCGCAGCAGTTAGAACACTTTTTAACGGTACATTTTCTACTACAATCACAATAAATAATCAATTTACCCAAGAACAAAAAAAAAAAAAAAAATATGTATATATATATATATATATATCAAATTTTAAATAAATTAAAATTGTTAAAATTAACAAAAATATATATATTTAAAAAGCAGTTATAATAAATATACATATACTTATACACTTTTAATATTTCATTTGAATTTTTGCTCTGTTCTTAGCTAAGCAAGCATGAGAGAGAGAGAGAGAGAGAGAGAGATGCGAGAGAATTGTGTTACAAATAATTTGTTTTAATTTTACGCTTTTTAATTATTTTTACTGCAATAGTTATAATTAGAAGAAAACAAAACCATGGAGAAGCAAAAATAAGTGAAAAAGAATTTGTTGTAAATTAGCATAAATATTTGAAACACATACATACATATAAACATATACATATATATGTACAATCACATTGTTTTAAACAAATTTAGTTTAATTTTTTTTTAAGTGAAAATAAAATTTTCATTTTTGTTTCTGTTTACATTGAATAAATGCAAATAAACAAATGCTTTGAACTTAGTGACTCTGTCTGTGTGTGCGAGTATGTGTGTGTGTGAGTGTTTGTGAGAATGTGTGATTGCGGGTGTGTGCCTCTGTACTTTACTGTACCTATTTTTTTTTTTATTTATTTATTTATTTAGTAGAACATTGGTTTCTCAAGTAAACTTTTATTTCCAATTAACAAAAGTCTTCATTGCAACAACAAGAAAACAAAAACAACAACAAAAACTAAGAAAGGATAAATCCCCTTTTATATATTTAATATTTGTACTGTTTATATATTTTAACTCTAATTTTTTGATACGTGTATTTTTCAACATCTACTTCCTGCCCTCGAATGCTTTAAACAAAAAAAAAAAAAAAAAAAAAAAACAAAAAACTTTACACAAGAAAAACTTAAATATATATATATATATATATAAATAAATATGTATGTATATGTATATATATATATATATATATATATATATATATATATATATATATATATATATATATATATATAATTATGAAAAGAATTAAAACTTTACCTTTTGGATAAATCAATTTAAATGCATATTTTATATATATTTAAACATTTATTTATATGCCTATATATGTACATACATATATATATATATATATATATATATATATATATATATATATATATATATAAATGCATATACATAACAAGTAATATAATAATATAAATAATAAGTTGAAGCAACTTTGTCAGAGTCAAAGCAAAAAGTTTATATACTTATATTTAAACAAATACAAACAACAACAAATAATATTAAAGCAAGATTAAAACAAATTAATATTTAAAACAATATATATATATATATATAAGAAACAAAAATAAATAAGAAACAAAAAAACAAACATCACATCTAGATAATTCTCTTAAAAATTTTCAATTTTATTATAAAACCGAAAATAAGTAAATTAACAAATTTAAACAGTGAAAGCATTATTATATTATAAATTTATAAATGTATTTCAAACAAACAAACAAAGCAAGAAAAACAGAAAAACAAATGATAGGGGCAGCTGGCTGGCAAATGCAAATAAATTTGCCAAATTTGCCAAAATGCGAACTGCGCCGTTGTGAGAAATGATAAATTGTATGCAATCCAGAGAAAATGATGAAGAAGAAGAAGGAGAAGAACAAATTAATTTACAAATGGCATAATGAACAAATGCAGACAAGTTTTAACCTTAAGTGAATGCAAAATAAAAACAAAGATTATCAATGTTATTAACAAAATTAATATAAACAAAAAAAAAAAAAAAAAAAAAAAAAAACAAAACAAAACAATACAAAACCATTTAAAAAAAATATACAAGTACCTATCCTGAGAATAAAATGCGCGCACGTTTATTATTTCCTCTAAATGTTCGTTTTGAATACATATATGTTATAAGATTTTTTTCAGTTCAATTTTTCAAATTTGACGCCAAATGGAAGTAAGTTACCGTTGCGGTTACGTTAAGCATGTTAAGAATCGATAGTCCACATTTTGAATCTGTTATAAATGCTTCTGGGCATTGTCTTTTATTGTGAGCAATCGATAACAACAACAGATTACAAAAAGTCGGCTTACGGAGATTTAAAATAATGCAATAAAAATGCAGATTTTGTTTAGCCATGTGAAGTAATATATCAGGTATAAAGTGATTACTAGACTTGAGTATGATTTGAATATAAGCCATGCATAAAATAACGTTTTAGAAGCTCTGTAATTTATTCCAAGTATATACTGCTACTATACATTTGCTTACGTCATCCTCCTGCTGCTTTACGTCAGCGTACATTGACTTAACGTCGAACATGGTATTTTTGGTATTCATGGCAGTTGAAAATTGTAGAATTTGGCACTCGCAATTTGTGGTCACACTGGTAGAATATCAATAAAAATAAAGGAGAGGGAGGGGGAGCTGAAAATTCCATTGAGAAGCGAAAAAAAAACGTAGCGAGAGAAATTACGACGTCTGCAGGGCACAGCAGCAGCCAAGACGAAACGAAAATATAAAAACAAATTGTGAATACATTGCTGTTGTGTTACAGAAACAACTGTAACCGAGATATAGAAAATTACCAACCGAAAATAGCAAAATCCTGTAACGCTACAAAGCGGCTAACTAGTTCCAACAAAAAAGAAAGAAAAGAAAAAAAATCAACAGCAGCAGGAGTAGAATACAAAGTAGAAAAGTGCGTGTGTTGTTGGCCAACGTGCCAGTGCGTGCGTGTGCGTGTGTGCAGCTAGTGCAATCCAGTGCAGTAGACAGCGCACACCATAGAATACGCTCACTCAGTGTGGGCGCCATCTGTAGCATCAGCAACAGCAACAGCAACAGGAAGAGGAATAGCCACAGCCACAGCCACAATCCAATTCACAGCGTACTGCAAACATGTCTTCGAATAATCAATCGAGCGGCGTCGCTGCCCAAGTGGCAACAAGTGCCAATCAGCGAGGTGGCAACGCCACCAACTCCACGGATGCCACAGACACGCATCACGGCAGCAGCAGCAATAGTAGCAGCAGCAACAACAATAACGCCAGTGCCAATGCCAACGCCTCCGCCACGGGCAATGCCACAGCAAGCAGCAACAGCAACTCGAATGCCGCCAGCGCTGGCCACGATAGTCCCACGCATAAGGCGCATGGCGGACACGCAGCGGTCAACACCAAAGAGCGCGTTGTCGACAGCGTTCCATTTCCACCCAGTCACAAGCTGACGCTGGCCGAGGTATTCGATGCGCGCACCGGCAAACCCAATCACGAGCTGCTCAAGCAGCACTTCATTTTGGAGGGCCGGATCGAGGAGGCGCCGGCACTGCGCATCATCCAGGAGGGCGCCGCCCTGCTGCGGCACGAAAAGACAATGATCGATATTGAGGCGCCGGTTACTGTGTGCGGCGACATCCACGGCCAGTTCTATGATCTCATGAAGCTATTTGAGGTGGGCGGATCGCCGGCAACAACAAAGTATCTGTTCCTGGGCGACTATGTGGACCGGGGCTACTTCAGCATTGAGTGCGTCCTCTATTTGTGGTCGCTGAAGATCACGTATCCGCAGACGCTGTTCCTGCTGCGCGGCAATCACGAGTGCCGGCATCTGACCGAGTACTTCACCTTCAAGCAGGAGTGCAAGATCAAATACTCGGAGCGCGTGTACGACGCGTGCATGGATGCGTTCGACTGCCTGCCGTTGGCGGCGTTGATGAACCAGCAGTTCCTCTGCGTGCACGGCGGACTGTCGCCGGAGATACACGAGCTGGAGGACATTAGGCGGCTGGATAGATTCAAGGAGCCGCCCGCCTTTGGCCCCATGTGCGACCTGCTGTGGTCCGATCCGCTCGAGGACTTTGGCAACGAGAAGAACTCGGACTTCTACACGCACAACTCGGTGCGCGGCTGTTCGTATTTCTACAGCTACGCCGCCTGCTGCGACTTCCTGCAGAACAACAATCTGCTGTCGATCATACGGGCGCACGAGGCGCAGGACGCCGGCTACCGCATGTACCGCAAGAGCCAGACCACCGGTTTCCCCTCGCTGATCACCATCTTCTCGGCGCCCAACTATCTCGACGTGTACAACAACAAGGCGGCGGTACTCAAGTACGAGAACAACGTGATGAACATCCGACAGTTCAATTGCTCGCCGCATCCCTACTGGCTTCCCAACTTCATGGACGTGTTCACCTGGTCGCTGCCCTTCGTCGGCGAGAAGGTCACCGAGATGCTGGTGAATGTGCTGAACATCTGCTCCGACGACGAGCTCATGACCGAGGAGAGCGAGGAGCCGCTGTCGGACGACGAGGCGGCGCTGCGCAAGGAGGTCATCCGCAACAAGATACGCGCCATTGGCAAAATGGCGCGCGTCTTCTCAGTGCTGCGCGAGGAGTCCGAGTCCGTGCTGCAGCTGAAGGGGCTGACGCCCACGGGCGCCCTGCCCCTGGGCGCTCTGTCCGGCGGCAAGCAGTCCCTCAAGAATGCCATGCAGGGCTTCTCGCCCAACCACAAGATTACCTCATTTGCGGAGGCCAAGGGACTCGATGCGGTCAACGAGCGGATGCCGCCCCGACGGGATCAGCCGCCCACACCCAGCGACGATCATCCGCACCCGCATCAGCATCATAGTCAGGGCAACAATGGAGCGGCGCATGGATAAAGAATCAGCGCGGAGGGCAACGGCAACGGCGTGGGAGGGACAACAGGAGTCGGTGGCTTCTGTGTGGGCGCCGATTACGGTCGGTAATACTAATAAGTAATACCTGTTGTCGGATCAGATGTGCGTGGCGGTGTGTATGTGTGTATGTGTGACTGGGTGTGCTGCCTGTGCCGGTTGTGCGGGCAGAGCATGCTCTGAGCACGTGCAAGAGGGGCCACACTGTGCTCCCTTGCCCACACACACAGACTCGCATAGCCACACACACGTACACACCCATATACACACCCACACACAGCCACACACACACACACACACACACATGCGAGAGCATGCATACATAATATTTACATAAAATATCTACATATAAACATAATAATGTTGCAAAGATTTGTCGTTTTAGCTAAAACATCATTCGTAATAATTGTAATACACAAATACATACTTACTTTAATGATAAGCAAAAAGGTCAAAGGCGAGGTAACAAAGGAATAGTTGAACAATTGGAACAGAGCTGATCATATATACATATACATGGAATATGGCACGTGGAAATTCTATATAAACATTTCACTCTGAGAACAAACCAAACATCAGCAGCAGCAAGGAGCAAAGGACTTATGCCCGTTGAGGTATGCAGGATATTACAATTAATGCATTGATCGATTACTTTTACGCTCTAGCCACAGATTCCTTTTCCGTAATACAAATTAAAAATACAAAAACAAAAAAAAAAAAAAAAAAAAAAATCCAAAACTAATCTTAAGCTTGTATGTATAAAGAATGAGAAAAAAAAAAACAAAACAAAACATGTTAAATAACAAGAAAAAGAAAAAAGAAAAAAAAACAACCAAAAAACCTAGCGCTAATATGTTGAAAACAATTAGCAGCGCCAAAAAGAAGCGTACATATATTATGTTTAATTGAGAGCAGAGAAAAAAGAGAGGAAAACATTAACAAAAACAAATACAAACTTATATGAAAGAAAGCAAAGAACTGTGCAATCTTGAACGGAAACAAAAATTAAAAAAAAAAAAAAGAAAAACAACAAATGTTAATTGTTGCTTAAACATTGTAAAATTCGCAAGACCCAGAAGAAACAAAAGAAATTTTCAAACAATTTGCAATATGTGTCGCAATAGTCCATTAATTAATGTTCCTTGTACATTTTACAAAATGCATATGTATATACATATATATATCTGTGTATATGTGTGTATGTGCATATGTATTTGTTTGTTGTTTATATTGTTGCCTAATGTAACTGAACTTAACTTAACTTGCATATATGTTTCTATGTGTGAACTCGTGTATAATTTATTGTGTTTTTTATTTGCTTAGCCAAAAACATGTTGAATTCTTATTACAATTGTGGGAGGGGCAAGAGGCAGAAGGAACAACAAATGAAATCGCAAATACAAAATTTGGATAACAACTTAAATAATTATTTAGCAATTAAACATTGCATTTTAAATATCCAAATGAAAAGAACAAAGCAAAAAAAAAAAAAAAAAAAAAAAAAAAAAAAAAAAATGGCATAAGGATTTAAGTACCACACAAACTAAACAAAAACATAAAACAATTTAACATTTAAATAGCTAATCAAATATATTAAACTAATTAAATAAAATATTAAAAAATATCTAAGCACACACACATATGTGCGTGTGTGTGTGTATGTATAACTGCAACTGCAAATGAATATCACATGTTTTCATATTCCTTTTCTTTTTTTTTTTTTTTTTTTTGTTAAACAAATATATACATATATATAAAGTCAATTTATATATATTTATAATAAATAAACACTAACTGAAACATTTGCACCCATATTTCGCATAGTTTTTTTTTTTATTTTTTATTTGTTTTGTTTTTGTTATGAAATTTGGAATAAAAATATTAAACAAAGAGTTTCACTTGATAGAAAATAAGAAGAAGCACGCACAGCATTTCCCTTTTTTTTTTCCTTTCCACAAATTATGCACAAGACATCAGAAAAGCAAATCAATATATAAAGTATATTATAAAACAAAACAAAACAAAACAAAGTATATATACTTATAAATTATATATATATAAATATGAATGTTTTTTGGCAAATAGTATATATATAACGAACTCGTACTGTATAAAGTCTAAATGAAAACAATAAGCTTTTTACTTAACTCTGTCCCACACGTCAGGCAGCACTTGAAACAATTTCCCAAAACAATTTTTAGAACTGAAATCAAAAGATTTACTTGTGCCATGCGAAAACTCAAAAGTAAAAAAAAAAAAAAAAAAAAAAAAAAAATCAAACTATTATAACATAACTCAAGTTAGCTAATGTTTCAATTAACAAGAATTTGCATCGGGGACATTAAGGAATTAAAAAAATGACTTCATATCCTTTAGTTTTGTTGTTTTCGAATATATCTCTCACTAACAAGAAGAAGTTAGCTATGAAAATATTTGAAATTTTAATATATTTCTCTTATGTTGTAAGTAGAGCATTAAAAAACACATTATAAATGAAATATATCAAATTTGACTTTCATAAGATCAAACCAAAGCAGAGCCAATAACTTCTATGATTCACAAGAATATGAATAATTAAAAGAGAAAAGAGAAATCCAAGCCATTTAAATGTGGTAAACCTTGAAACAAGTCTCCGATACACTGTCCCTTAACGTAACTAAGTCATATATTTATATATAATAATACATATACATACATACGGAAATGCCTTCATAATCAACGTTTCGTTAATGACTCTTAGTCGGGTCCCAATTGACATTTGCTGTTTTTCCACCAATTTTTCTAAAACGCTGTACTTTGCTTACCCAAATTTGCGAACTCTATTTGAAATTCTAAAACACACATATATATAAATAATTAATTAATTATACGTCAACTGATCCTTAATATGTAAAGTCATCAAACTTAGAGTAATTAACTTAAAATTAATGGATTATGCACGTGTCGAAATAATACTTACGCAATTATAAATATATATATATACCTATATATATATAAATATAAATACATATATATTTTCAAACTGAAAACTAAGATAAAATGAGAAAATTTAGCTTTTATAAAAATCCACAGAATTAATCAACTTGAGAAGAAATTACAGTTAATATATAACACTTTGGCACTACTAACTACAGTCAGTCTATAGGAAATAAGTTTTTAAGCCCAAAACTACATAAATTTCGTTACAGTGATTTATGTTTATTCCGCTTATAAACGAAAAATGTTAAAACCAATTTAGTTAGTAATAATTATTAAAAGAAAAAGAAGAAGAAGAAAACCTTAAGAAAAGGAAATTAGTTGCTTAATGAGCAGCGAGCGAATGAAATTGTAAACTTGCATCAATTTAATGAACGGACAAATTATGAAAATGGATAAAAAGAAATCCAAAGAAAAATCAAACACCAAACTGCGAGGCGTGTTTAAAGATTTATACATATACACAGACACACACACAGACACACAGAGAGGGATGTGTTATACTTTGTTGAGAGCGAATTCAACTGTTATATTAAATGGCGCCAACTGTCATATGTATGCCTGCGCGCGTGCATATAACAGTAATGGATAGTCTATTGTTAATCAATGCTAACTAGAAATGAAACCAAACAGCGTGCTTCTCAATTAACTGTTCCATTTACAGCAATTTATAAATTGTATAACAAAATGTCATTTGTTGTCCACCGCTTAGAACCAAAATACAACATACAAAGTTACAGACTTACATATGTATGTAGGTGTGTATGTAGGCAGTCAACAAACTCACATACACACCCACAGACAGGATACGCAGATACATACATACGTATAGATTTTGATAAATATCAAGAGTATAACAAGAAATACGCTACACACAGATACACATACATACATATATGGCTCGACCACAAACTCTAAGCAGAATCAAAAAGAAATTTACTCAATAACTAACAAAAATTAATTACTAAATAAATGAAATACAAATTATGAAAGAAGCATAAAAATGTATATGAGAACAGCATTATGTATATCTAAGACATTTAACATTTCGCCTCTTAAAGCAATTCTAAAGATAACAAATTATATATATATATATATATTTATATATATATATATATATATATATATACATACAGTATACATACATATTATATAAACCAAATAAAATAAAAATTGTCGCGACTCTCCGCCTGCTTCTTCTGTTCATAATGTTGCTCCCTTTGCCTTTATCTCTTCTGTTGACCTCGATAGCAAGATGTATCCATTTCAGATAAACTAAAGTATTGCTTAGATTTTTTTTTTTTCATCTAGATCCTGGATCCGTTAGCTGAAGTTGGATGCAATAATGACTATATGTACCCCATATATACAGCAGCGACGCAGATAACTAATCACCATCTCAAGCTGAGTTACGTTATTAATTTGTAGAAGTTTATTCCATATTTCCGTTTCTCTTTCATCCGATTCGCGCTCAATTTGATTTGAAAATGTATATCTAAAATGCATGAAAAATTTCGTAGCGATCCCGCAATACCGATACTGGTTTTGTAGCCCTTGAGTAAGGTTTCGATAGTTGATAAGATATAAAAATTGTTATATCGATATTTACCACGCAACTCTAGTTCTGTATGTGTGTGTTATTTCTTGTGTTTTGTGCCGCCTAGGAATTGAAATTTGCAACCATTTGCAAGCCTTTCGCAATCAATAATTAGAAAAGCTATTATTTGTGGCACACTTTGATTGTATAAAGCGTGTGCACAAATTCAAATCTTTGAAAACAAAAACAATCGAAAATACGGCAAGAGAGTGAGAGAGCGACGCATTCAGAGCAGAGTCCGCCCGCGTGCCAGTACATGTGTGTGTGTGTTGTGTATGAGTATCGCCCGTGTGTGTATGAATGAAGCTGGCATGTGTATGCGTGTCTGTAAATGTGTGTGTGTTTTTGTACGGTTGGAAATTGTGTGATTAACTGCAGTCAGCCTCGTCTGGTAGTCATTCAAAAGTAGTATTAAAACGGCGGTGGCAGCAACAATTCGAGTCATCCAACTGCTACGGCGACGCACCAAACATTGAGCCGTTAAAACAACAGTCCCAGCTCCAGTTCCAGTCCCAGCAGCAGCAGCATCAGCATCAGCAAAGAGACAATAAACACCCACGACGACATCAACAACCGACAACAAGAACAACAACAATAGGAGCACCAGCAGCAGCAACATCAACCGTGGACAGTTTTAGTTGAAGTTCAATTTTCCAGTTGGTGCACAAAATGGATAGCAAAGGCCGAAAAGTTATTGTTTGTGATAACGGCACTGGGGTATGTATGCGTTGTGTGGCCACATGCTAACGCTGCCCGAAACCGAACCAGAACCAGAACCCGAACCCAAACCCAAACCAAGCCCAAATCCCGTCTAGCCTCAAGTTGGATGACACACATATTTGCAGTTCTTTGCTTGCCTAGCGATGTAGGTTAAACAGCGATTTTCTTCGCATATCGGGGCGTTGACGTTGCGGGGGGGCGCTCCCCCTAATGTTGCCGGTCCAAGCTATGCTGAAGCCAGTATGTGTGTGAGTGTGTGTGTGTGTGTGTACGTGTATATAATGTTCATATAGTTATTTATTTATGTGCCCATACATGCATATATAAACGGAGCTTTAGTCATGGCTACACAAGCGTTGTACAAGCTGCGTCGGCATAGTATTACTCACCGCAGCAAATCAAAAGTTACGCATACTCTGCCTCTCTCTATCACACGCTCTCCCGCACATACACTCACACACACGCCCAGTGCCAACAACAAAAAGAGCGCCAGAATGAAGACAAACAACAGCAAGAAGCGGAGCACCCATTCCCAATCTTATTTCTTATCAGGACTAAAAAGAATTTGTTTGTGATTACGTTTCGCTGGGCCACATGAGCTATCGATTATTGCAAGTCTTCCGATAACTGAATCAATTGTTATATCCAAAAAATTCGAAATTCTAAATCTATGTATTTTCTATTTTCAAATTGAGCTTATTGTAAATATGATTGTAAATTTAATAGTTTTATAAACGTACGTCAAATGATGTCTGAATAATGTTTTATCTGGATATTGCTGATAAGTCTGTAAACAACAAGTTCTTTTTTTTAAGAAGTGCGTTCTAGATTTATTTTGTATTTAAAATCAAATATTATTAAAGAGGTCTTCCATTATGAAGAAGAGAAGCTGCACTATAACGTTTAATTTTTAAAAGAACTTTCGAAATTCCTATGAGTTGAACCCATAATATAACTAGATACCTTAGTTTTATATAAATATTTCCTTATGAAGAGTGATATATAATATAACTGTCAGACTCCCTTTACAATAGTCTCTCTATGGAGCTTAGAGTTTCCTTTAGACATTATTTTAGATCATTTCCTTCACTTCAGATTTTTTTCACTTCCTTTAGATTTTTTTTATATATAGTTTGATTTATAATAGAGACCTAGAACATCTGGTAGACATACATCTTTATAGACCTTCGACTATGTTATAGAATTCCAGAATTGCTTTTGGAAAACTTTTAAAATGTATGTAAATAATTAGTATTAATTTATATATTAAAATGAAAACTTCCTCTATAGAGCTTGAAGTTTAGTTAGATTAGTGTTGAGCTCTAATACAACTCCTTTACAGATCGTTCTCCATAGAAGCTTTAAGTTATTACCTCTATATAGTGATTGATCTATAATATAAATTGAGAACTGCTCTTAAATTACTTTAAATTACCTCAATATATAGTTTCCCTTACGAATGATGTAGTCGCAGCTGTTTCTCAAGCCCGTGCAAGCTGTTTGTGTATGAATCGATCGGAGCTGTGGCGAGGTGTCTGGGCAATGGCATTAGTTTGTGGCAAAAATCGATGCACTCAAGAAGAAATGCGATTTGTTATAATTTTTCCTTTTTCTCATCTACAGTTCGTGAAATGCGGATATGCCGGCAGCAATTTTCCCGCGCACATTTTCCCATCGATGGTTGGTCGACCAATAATACGGGCGGTCAACAAAATTGGTGACATCGAAGTCAAGGTATGAGAAGCGTATTTACCAATAGACAAACACACATACATATACATACATATATATACTATATTAATTGTCTAACAGTTAATACTACATACACACACAAACACACACACACACACACACACACGTGCATACTTAATATATACATACATATAAAGATACATATATGCACAGGTCGATTATCTATTCATAATAATTAAGTACTATATATAGTCACATACACACACACAAACACAAGCACACACACATACATATATGTATATGCATATGTGTATATGTGTGCGTATATGTATGATTAGCATTGGTCAAGAACTTAGCGCATAGCCTCACCATACTTATCATAGTGTATGTCCATTATTATTAGTATATTTTCACTTTCACATTTCCATATCCATTTCCATTGGCATTTTCATTCTTGTTTCTTGAATACCAAACACAACAACTGCTTAACTTACGATACTTTTGCCATTTGGTATTGTTTCTTATCACAATTACTATTATTTCTTTAGTTTTATCACTCTCACTATCTCCCTCTGCCTCGTTCTTTCTCTCTTCTCACTCTCTCTCTCTCGCTCTTGTTGCAACGTTTCCTACATTCATTGCATTTTGTATTGAGTTGCTGAAACAATAATTATCATCATCATTACCATCATCGTCATCATGCTCATCATCATCATAATCATCGTTATGGTTCTAATTATTATTATAATGGGTGTCTGTTTTTGGTCTTGGTATAATACAATTGTCACGACTGTCAAGTGGTGTGGGTGCATCCGAAATCTAATTATACCAACTGTAACGGTACAGGTATACCAATATGTTTCTCATATGATATGATGAAGATGATGAATGAATGACTTTCGACTCTTCTAGTCTGTCATCTAGCCGCGTAGAGCCGCCTAGATTAGGTAGGCTGTGCCTCAGCCGCGTCCCCAAATAAAGGTTTTTAGTTATAGAGAGCATGACTTTTTGCTTTCAGGCTTTTTTTTTCCCCATACATACATATCAATTATTGCTTTTCCCGTTTCCTTTTGTTCTTCCCTTCTTGTTTTGAGCGCTTTCCATACCCGATAAACACACACACATACAAAGTAGATCGATTTATTGGGCAAATTTAATACAGTTGATCATATTATATATACATATATATAAGTTTAGCTTATTCAACATTCAGATAAAATCTCTAATGAGGAAATCATTCTGTTTTTTTAATATTCTTCTTATACATATTTTCTGTTCTTTTTTTACATATTTTTTTGAAACAAATATTTTACAGGATTTACATGTCGATGTAAGTCAAGTTTTATAGCTTAAAAAAAAAAAAAAAAAAAAAAAAAAAACAACAAAAAAAAAAAGAAAATAAAACAACAAATATTTAATTCAAATTCCAAGTGTTGTATTGCATAATTAAATGAGTTAATTAAATAAAATTCAACTTCTCCAACTTAAATTGCAATTCCTATTTACACACACGAAATGCACAACTTAAAGTCGAATAAATATTGAGTAAAACTGAAAATGGATAAAACTATAGTTATCTAGTGTTTTTATATTGTTCTTGCACTTGCTAAATAATTAATCAAAATAATTATATATACTGTATATTGTATTTGCATTAAAAGTAAAACAGATTTCATTCATTTGTTTTCAGTCTCGAATATGCAGAAGAAGAAAATCATGTAAAATCAAAATTTTCATATTATCATAGAAATATATTTGTTGTTTCATTTCTTATTCTTTTTAATAAATGCAGTTAATTTTATTTGTTATGTTTTGTATTTACTTAATTTGTATACCTGCAATAGATGTAGTCAAGTTATATATTATATATGTTTGCCCCCCCTCTGTTTCTATGCATGAGTAAAGTAAGTAAATTGTAATATACATATACAATAAATATTTTTTATTTGATATATATGTTTTTATTTATTTATTTTCTGCGCTAATGCACGATAAACAATCGGAAGCTAATGGAGATTTGTTTAAAATATAAACCTGATTTGTTACTCGTTATTCGTTACTCGTTATTAGTTACTCGTTATTTGTTATTTATTATTCGTTATTCGTTACTTGTTGCTGCATAGAATTCTAATGTTTGCTCGTTATGCTTTGTGCCTGTCGTATAAGTAGGTGTGTTGATCTATAGTAATTCGTAAACGCTGTTTGAATCGAACAATGTACTAAACAAATGCAAAGATAATAATAATAATATTGAAATGCTCTCGCTGCATTGATATTAAACAATCTGTGATGGCCATTTTACAGGATCTGATGGTCGGCGATGAAGCCTCAAAGCTGCGCTCACTACTGGAGGTCTCCTATCCCATGGAGAACGGTGTGGTCCGGAATTGGGACGATATGTGTCACGTGTGGGACTATACGTTCGGGCCCAAGAAAATGGATATTGATCCGACGAACACAAAGATCTTGCTGACTGAACCCCCCATGAATCCCACAAAGAATCGCGAAAAGATGATCGAGGTTAGTTAATCTTGAATTGCACTCATTCACTTCTTTTATATATATTCTCCTTTACAGGTGATGTTTGAGAAATACGGTTTCGATGCCACGTATATTGCCATACAGGCAGTATTAACGCTGTACGCCCAGGGTCTCATATCCGGCGTGGTGATCGACTCTGGTGATGGCGTCACGCACATCTGTCCAGTCTATGAGGAGTTCTCGCTGCCACATTTAACGAGGCGTCTGGATATTGCGGGTCGAGATATAACGCGCTATTTGATTAAGGTATATGCGCATTCCACATATAGCTTAGCTCAATGTAATTGTTTAATTTCCAATCTTTCAGTTACTTTTACTACGTGGCTATGCTTTTAATCATTCCGCTGACTTTGAAACGGTGCGCATCATGAAGGAGAAACTCTGCTATATTGGCTACGACATTGAGATGGAGCAACGGTTGGCATTGGAGACCACGGTGCTGGTGGAATCCTATACGGTACGATATGCTTATGGTGTATATGCACATGTGCACATGTTTTACATTTATGCTTGGGATTGGATTTCAGTTACCCGATGGCCGTGTGATCAAAGTGGGTGGTGAGCGATTCGAAGCGCCTGAGGCGCTATTCCAACCGCATTTAATAAACGTTGAGGGACCCGGCATTGCGGAACTGGCCTTCAACACGATACAGGCGGCGGACATTGACATACGACCCGAGCTCTATAAGCACATAGTGCTGTCCGGCGGCTCGACCATGTATCCGGGTCTGCCCAGTCGCCTGGAGCGTGAAATAAAGCAGTTGTATTTGGAGCGGGTACTCAAGAACGATACGGAAAAATTGGCGGTAGGTCGTTCCCTCTCCTATTGTATCTCATAATTATAATCGTTGACTTCTCTTTTCCTAATTTGTAATTTGTAAAGAAATTCAAAATACGCATTGAGGATCCGCCGCGTCGCAAAGATATGGTTTTCATTGGTGGCGCTGTATTGGCTGAGGTAACGAAAGATCGCGATGGCTTCTGGATGTCCAAACAGGAGTATCAGGAACAGGGACTAAAAGTATTGCAGAAGCTGCAGAAGATCAGCAAATAAAGCAATAACAACCATAACAACATCAACAACAAGAACCGCAACAACAACAACAACAATAACAACAATAGCAAGAGCTAACGATGATCAATGATGAGCAGCAGCATTTGCATTTGCTTAACTTAAGTTAAAAATGAGTATAAACAAAAAAGGAGATATAATTTTAGTGCACATTGCCAGCTAGACAATGGTGTTTGGCTATAGTTTGCAAATGGGGGCGTGCACTATCTGTTCATTCAGTTCTTACTATTCGTAAATATGCCCCTCCTTGTTTCATACATACTACATTCGTATATGCACAAAAGTAAGAGCGTACTTTTCACACACACCAAACAAACACCTTCTTTAATTGCTATGTTATAAACGTATTGCCAAATTTTGTATAATTTGTCTGTTTGGCTCTAAATAATTTAAGCAAATGTCATAGTTTTGTAATAGTTTTCTTTATTATCATTAAGCCCTTGTTTCCCTTGTTTTCAATACTATATTATTATCTTTTTTTTCTTACTAAATATATATGTGCATAGATTGTATTGATATTTTTGTAAACACAAGTATCTTTTCATTTGTGCTTTAGCCTAAAATCTAAACCCAAGTATTTTCATGTTTCCTTGTCAATCTAAAACAAAAACAAAAGAAGAGAGAATGAAAAAAAGAGTATTAATCAAGTCTGGGCATGTTGCTTATAGTTATAGCAGCGATTATAAATCGCCTGGGCATTTGTCTGTGTGCGAGTGCGAGTGTGTGTGTGTGCGTGTGCGTGTGCGTGTATGTGGGCGTGTGTGTGTTTGTGTGCTTGTGCGAAAGAGACAATGAGTGAGCTGCATAGTTAAAAGTGAAATAAATACATACATACATACTTATATAGATAATGATTTGTGCTAACTAAGTTAGTTGTCTGCAGCTGCGTTTGCTAGTTCATATTGCAATACATGACTGCCCATAATTTTAAGCCTACTCCATTAAAACATAAATCAATACAACAGCAACAGCAACAACAACAATCAAAACTCTTGTTAACGTTGTGCATATTGAAGAATTCAATAAACATTAATTGTATGTATCTATGAGAAATGTTTATTATTATTATTATTATTATTATTATTATTATTATTATTATTATTATGATACAAAGCAACGTTGGAAATATGAGCAGCTATAACATATAGACAATATTTCTGAATCAGAATCTTAGCTGCCTAACGGTATTCTAGATATATTCAAAGTTCAATTTAGGTTGACAGTTTAGGTAGCGTAATTAATTGTTAAGTGTATTTAGCCAAGTTCGAATTATCGGGATTCGAGACCAAGATTAAAATTAGATTTTTAAAGATTTGTTACTGGATTTGTATGTACTTTGTTAAACTTTGATATCCTTGACTTTTTTCCCCTATTTGTTATTAACAAATTTCAACTAAGCTAAGTTAGCTTCAACAAAAACAAATATTGTGTTAAAACTAAAAAATTCCCTAAACACGTATCAGCCCAGTTTATAAACTGATCTATAGATCAGCATATCTCCAAACATCAAATTCCTTAAAACGGCTACAAACTAATATGCTCTCTTCAATTCGCCTAGCCTTAATTAACGAACCATATATGTACACAGTGGGGTTAAGGAAAAAACCTGATGCTCGTTTGCCGTAATTTTTATACCCTGAACCCATTGAAAATGGGAAATCAGGGTATAATGGTTTTGTGAAAAAGTATGTAACGGGCAGAAGGAATCATCGCAACCCCCTTAAAGTATATATATTCTCGATCAGGGCGACGAACTGAGTCGATATAGCCCTGTCCGTCCGTCCGTCCGTCTGTATGAGTGTGTCGATCTCAGAAGACCCAAAAGCTAGAGAGCTAAAATTTGGCATGTATACTCGTGTATACCATACGCAGTACGAGTTTGTCTTATTTTTTCAATAAATCATCCGATAACCTTTTTATCGAGAATAATCGAAAAATTGATTTTGTTTTTACAGCCTCAATGGAATACTATTAGACCTGGAGACTTCAAATTTACTGTGTATATACATATGATGAATACAAACATTTTGTAATTTACAGATTTTGGATACCACGCCACCTTCGCCCACAATTTGTAAAAAACGCATTTCAAGTACTAGAGAGGCTCTAGTCGAGCAGGGTCGACAAGAGCCTTCTAACTTGTTTTCTATACAAAACATATTTTTCACTAACACATTTTTGTATTTCATCCATTAGAATTTATTTGATCAAGTCAGGTAGAATTGAATTTTATGTAACTTTCCATCCAGAACATGGAGCGATTTTTCTCGGATCCTGGTCCTTAAGACCTTACAGAGTTTAAGGCTTGCTGTCATAAATCTATGATCTCTAATAATCCCATAATAGGAAGTCTGGAACGGCTAAGTCGGGTGATCTACTCAGTTAGAAATGAGGGATTGAACGACCTGGATAGAAATGCTACATTTGTTCTTTCGTGAGCCGTCTGGCTTATAAATTTATACTCCGCCAATAACCATTCCAATTGGGTAATTACCTTTGCCCCACTCTGTATAATATTATTTACTTACATACATACATACTTATTTTTGACATCAGACCCTGAAATAGTTGAGCGAAAACGAAAGAAAAGGTCGCTTGAGTTTGTTAATTGAGAGTACACACTCATACGTAGACACTGCAGCTGTTTATTTAGACTTTCAAAACGCATTCGATACATTTATTGTTACAACAATTCTATAAACGTTTTTAGTACAGTATATATATGTATATATGTTGTATATGGCGGTATAACAGATTTGCTATGGGGGGCGACATCGACAGATGGATCAACACTTAAACAATTATATAAACAGATTCAACGATTGCCTCGTCCTGCAGCCAGCCCCGAATATCTCGTTCGTTGTGAATCTTAAGTAAAAATATCAGTTTATATTGTATACACTCAGATGTTTCAAAAACATAGTCAAAAAAAAAAAAAAAAAAAAAATAATAATAATAAATAAATAAAAAAAACGAGGAATTTAGTCTCGTTCATTTAACTATTTCTGCGTGTACATTAGTACATTAGTAAGTGTGTGTGTGTGAAGCATGTGTGTATATTAAGTTTAGTCAGTATTTAGTAGTAGTTAATAAATAAGTAGAAAATACTTTTGTTTCCCTTGATACACAATACATATAAAAATACAAGAGGGTCCATAGGTTACAGCGTTTCGTCGGCTTCTTGATTTGTTTCATTTATAATATTTGTTTTTTTTTTTTCATTTTTTTTTTTGTCTTGCTTTTATTTATTTATTTAATCTGTTTGTAAATATCTTAGTTTAGAGAAAAAGTACACAAAATCGAAGGAGTTGTTTCAGTTTCACTTTGGTTTGGTTTCGTTACATTTCGTTTCGTTTTCATTGCACAAAATTAAAACCAATACAATAATAGTTTATGCGTGTAACGGTTAGTGTTTCGCGCTCATATCTGTGTTGGTGTGCATGCGATTGGCTGTTGTGGGCAAGCAGTTAACAAGGAATTGACAAGCAGTTGGCAAGCAGTTTAGTTACATTGAAATTTTCATAGCATACTTTTCAGCTGCTGCCATTTCAAATAGATCAGCTAAATATGCGTAATGTAGCTTTGTTGTGTTTGTTTTTTTTTTTTTTTTTTGTACTCTTCATATATGTATGTATATATGTTTGCTGTTGAGCTTGCCCGTCAAAAAGTTAACTATACACCGAATAAAAACAACATTAACATTTTAAACTGCCAAGCAGCAACAACAACATCAATATCAACACCAACACCAACACATACGATGTATTCAAACATCAATTGTTTGTTACCAGCTCTCGGCAAAAAAAAGTGTGTATATATATGTATATATATATATATATATATATATATGTATGTAAAAGTTTCAACTGTTTATAACATTTATTAGCTAGTCTGCTGTATCGGTTAGTTCTATGCAATTTCTTAGTTTAAATATTACGGCAATAAAATAATTACATATACATATATAAAAAAATAATGTATACAATATTAATAATAAAACTATACATATGCATACGCACACACACACACACATCCACCCACATGCACGTTAATAAATATATGCCATATTTGCATATTTGCTATGCCTTAAATCTAAGGAAACATTAAATACATCTAAAGCCACATATGCGTATTAGTTCAATGTTGTGTATGTGCTTGTGTGTGTGCGTGTGTAATTTGCTTAGTTATTGGCATTACAATTATAAAGTTATATAAATTAAGCTACCATATTAAAGTACATACTTAGGTTGCAAAAAAAAAAAAAAAAAAACAAACAATTTGTTACACCACTTATACACATACATGCATACGCATACACCGCCCCACACATACATATATAATATGTCTGTCGTTCTGTCTGCAGTTAACATTGCCTTATATATAAATATATATATATATATAAGTGGCTAATACAAGTAAAACACGTACACATTGCCACGCCCCTATGTTGTGGCATATACTACGAGTTGGTTTTAGCTTCAGATCTATGTTGTGCATATATAAATATACATATATGTATTATATTCAACGTAACCTCAACAATGCACATTTCTCTTCTGCTCCCTCTTCCTCATCCTCTTCTTCTTCTTCTTCTTCATATAACAATATCGCGTAACATCCATGCTCAAGTGCCCCAACAGATTTATCATACATATTCAACATTAGTTACATATCACAAATTGTGCGGTTTCATCCGCTTCCCCACGCCCCCAACGTCTCCTTTCCCCCCGCCCACTCGTCATCATCCATCCATCCATCCATCCATCCATCCATCCAGCCAGCCAGCAATGTCAGATGTGCCGTCCAGCTGTGGCAACTGCAACACATAATAAATGCAATTTTGAAACCATTTCTCAAAAAGCTTCAAGCCAGGAATTTCGTCGAGTCGAGTTGATCAAAGCCTAAGTGCATTTAGATTGAGTTGCGTTGAGTTCGAGTTCGAGTTCGAATTGAAGTCTGAGTGTGATTTGAATTCACATGAGTTGTCTAGCTCAAGCTTCGGTTGTGTTCGCTGGATTGAAGTGGCTGCCACCTCCGTTCGCATGCGAGCCATGCAACGACTCCTGTGACTTGAACAGCGTTGTTGTTTCGCTGGAATGCATGTCGCCGTCATCGTCATCATCATCATCATCATCATCATTATCGCCGTCGTCGTCAGCATTCTGCTCTGGCACCTCCACCTTCGGCTCCTGCTCCGCCTGTTTGTCCCCATCATCATCATTTGCATCGTTCAGCTCCTGCAGCCCATCATTTATAACAATCTGAATATCGTTAGGTAGAGTCTGTGGCTTCTCGGTAGCTTCGACCGCCACCTCGTCGGGATCGGTCAGTTCGTTTAGCTGCGCGTTTGGGGGCTGCTCCTCGAGATGCGGCCGGCGCCTGGTAAAGAGGAACACCTCCATGTGATCCTTGCCCTTGACATAAACGCTGCCGCGCGGCTCAAACTCATAGCAGGCGGTCAGGAAGGGCAGGCAGTCCTTGCCCACCTGTATGCGATTGGGCAGACCCGTCGAGTCCATGCGCGACGCCACATTGACCGCATCGCCCCAAATGTCATAGTAGAGCTTGCTGGTGCCAATGACGCCGGCCGTCACGTCCCCAATGTTCATGCCAATGCGCAGGATCAGATTGAACTCGAGCAGATCCTTGTTAAACTCATTGACCACGCGCTGCATCTCGATGGCGAACTCCATGAGGGTGTGGATGTGCTCGTCGCCGGTGCCACGATGCGATGGATCCAGCCCGCTGGCCGCCATAAATGTCGAGCCGATGGTCTTGATCTTCTCCACGGCACGAAACTTCGGATGCGACAGCAGCTCATCAAAGTCCCCGATCAGCTCGTTGAGCACGCGCAGGAACTCCTTGCCGCCCAGATAGCTCTCGTCGTACATCTCGTTGAAGTTGACAATGGAGGCAAAGATGATGGCAATATTGTGATGGTTCTCCGAGTACTTGGCCGTGTTCTTGAGGTGCTCGGCCACGTGCTTGGGTATTATGTTGTGGAGCAGCATGTCCGCCTGGTTCTTCATGTTCTGGACGCGTACCT